TTCGTCTTTTTATTCTTCATCTTCTTCTTCATTAACATCTCCATCTTCATCTTCTTCATCCTCATCTTCCTCTTCCTTTTTCTTCTTCGTCTTCATCATCATCATCATCATCATCATCATCTCCCTCTTCGTCTTTTTCAACTTCTTTGAGCTTTATTAATAATTCAATTTGCGATTTCTATAAGCATCAAACATTCAATCAAAGCTGCATGAATCTACGATTTTACCTGTCACAAAATTTGAACCCATTTTTAGCATAACGTTGATTAACTGATTGATTTCTTCTTTACGGTTTATCAACCATTACTTGGCTATTTGAAACCGAATGATATTTTTGCTTGTAAAAATAAGAACATTTTTGTGAGTGAATATTGCATCAATATTTTATTTTAGAGTAGCAATGATTTTTCCAGATACAAGTCATACTATTTAATCCTCGGCAGGAAGGAGATAATTTTAAGCGCATTACTAGACTGGTGTCGGGATCTTATCAATTTACTGTTGGTTTGGTTAATGTAACCGTAAACTCTATAATAACAGTCTCTTTTCTCGCACTTCTCGCTTGTGGAAATCCCTTCCGGTGCCATGCTTTCCAGCTAAATTTAATCTTCAAAAATTTAAATGCAATGTCAATCGCTATCTACTGTCCACTTTGTTCTCGCTCCTAAGTAACGTTTCTGTTTCTAATTCTCCCCCACCCAGTTACCTCTTGTGCCTTAGTGACTTTACTGCCTTACTTGAGGTGAACTCTATTAAAAATATATATAAATGGATTTACATCTTTTCCAAGGTTATTTGCATGTAAAACAAATGAAATGAAATTTACTGGAATTCGCTCTTTGCTTTTCGATTTCTCATCCTGAGCCGCTATATATTCTACCTACTCGACGTATTCTAGATTAAGCGCAGATTCTGTGTTAATGCTGTGGAGTAAATAAGACACCCAAGCTTACATAAATGAACTAGGCAAGACGCCTTAAATAAAGAACTAAATCAGTCAAGAGAATTCCGTTGGAGTCAGTCGAGGAGAATTTCAAAGGCGTTACGCCGAATAAGCTAAGAGGGATATAATATTATAATTGCTATGAGCGAGTTATAACAGTTAAATATCATCTCTCTTTTTTATATAATCGACTTATGGTATTTATTAAAATAAGATTTGTACAGCCGAAGAAAATCGGGGGAAAATTAGGTTAGGAAGATTGTGTTGCTCCAATCCTTCAAGTGGGAAGATTCTGCTTTGAAAATCACGATTTGATATTTTTATTTCAGGACTCAATTACCGGCGGCTGACATTAGTGAAAAAATATCAACTACTTTAAACACAAGACTGTTTCTATCATTTTATTTTATTCAAACCGGAAAAATCAACCAATATCATTTGCGTCGGTGTGCACAGGAATTGGAAAAGGTCCGTTGCACGTTCACAACTTTGGGAAATGATAACGGATAGAAAATGAACCCATTTTTTAAATGACGTGGTTATTTATTCAATGACCGTTGTTCTAGTCGGACCTAGTACTGTCTCTGACGGTGAGTGAGTGGCACTTCTGAACCCTTCGCGCCTTCTTACTTCCGCCGAGCCACTAGTACCGACGTGAGTGGGTGGAAGGACAGCAGCACTCTCATCCCACTCTAACCGACACTATGCTTATAAAAGTCAATGAACAAAAATGTTAACATTCGACCAAGTAGCACTTGACCTCAAAATTTCCATTTATTTATATTTCATTCCATTTTTGTCAAGTGGGTGGCCGCATTGAAGACATTAATTGTTAGGTTTTGCAGCTGGTCATAAAACACAATACTTCAAACGAAGAAAAAATCATGTGTTTGTTCTAAGCCAGCTGTGTGACGTTTCTATTGTGCCATATCCCTAGAACTTTTCCCTTAAGGGTAAAAATGCGACTTTACTGTTTTGTAACTTGCGTAAATTGTCATAAAGTTGTGGAAAAGTATCATTTTAACCAATTTAATATCCGTGAACATCCAAGTGTATTTTTTACAAACGAGATTGTCAAAATGTGTAAATACGTGCTTCAGATTTCGTTTGCAGACAGACGATTGTCTTGTTTATTTTGTTTGCAAAAAGCACAAACTATACACTATATACTCTACTCTTCCTTTTATCAAAATTGGCAGCTTTTATGAAAACTGAGTCTAAGATTAGAAACAAGGAATCAATTCATCTGTTAATCCTGATTTCTCAACTTCAGCTCCACTTGTTCATTCTTTTTTTGTCTTCCTTTGATTTTCGCTTTCGATATTTTATTTTTTTTGGCAGTCGACACTAACTTGTTCTCGGCCCAGGAATAGATACCGCCTGTCATGAGATCTGTTGTCTTCTGGGAAGTCTTACCCTTACACTGTCCAGAGCAGCGATGTCAGGTGTGATGGAGCCTCTGTTTAGTTGCAACATATCCATTTTCAACTGATACGGATATTCTTAGTTATTGGTACAAAATATTAAGATAGGTCTTTACAATCCTTTCAGAATAAAGGTTGGTGAGAGGAAAAGAATCGAACATTTCAAATCATTATTTGGTTAAATAAAAACGTAACTGCTTTTTCCTTAAAAACGAGATGCATTACATAAACTCTAATTAAAGAAAAGCTTTCAATATAAATTACAACTGAAATGATTCATCTTATATATAAAGTACAGTGTATATGTGTTTGAGCGTGTGTCTGCCCAAGCAACTCTTCCGCTCCCTCTGATCCAATTTTAATGATTCATAACTCATTCAAAAGCCCCAGAAAAGTTAGGCGCAGGGAACGATTTTCATTGAGTTCAGATTCAGGGTTGCCAGATAATGCCAGGTTAGAAATATATATTAATATATTATACTAGCCATTATTGTTTCTTTCAGGGTTCAAGGGGAGTAACTCTTATTATCCTTTTGTATCTATAATGGTAGTGCACATTTTGTTATGAAATATTAGGCGACATTTAAAATAACTCCTGTGGAGGGCACTTGGTTTGGCCATCATCACAATAGCTAGGGAGGAGTAGATGCGGAAATCATGAATAAACTACAAAAGAACTCAAAATAGATTGCTGCATTTAAGTATGGAATTAATGTCTAAGCTTACCGTGTAAAAGTTCAACAATAATTATTCTGCTGCCACTTAATTTAAAGGCGATTTGATGTACGCAGATCCTTATTTTCTGTACCAACAATTTTTTATTTCATGGTTGAGAGAACAGGGGACAACTTATAAGATAAAATTAATATAGTGTAAAGATGGGAAAATAGAAATTAGTTACACATTCAACATCTAAATATTTAACGAAAGATAATAGCTAATTAAGTAAAACCTATTTGATGAAATCTATATAAACAAATGCAAAACTGAATCACAATTATCAGACAAATACTGTGGTTAAAAAGCTCCAACTCTAGAGCAATGCGTGCGCTAAAAGCTTAATACCTGTATTATATATTATCTATTATCGTTAGGTTTAACTAATTTGCATATTGATTTTAAAGAATTATATTTCATTAATTAACTAACCTTCATTAGATTTCTTTCATTTAAGTATTATTTTAATTTCAATATCAAAAATAGTTCTGTTTAGGAATCTTGTCTTATATAAAGCAGAAAAGTGTTTAAAATTTGCATTTTACTTGGCATTCATAAAGTTGGCATCTGTTCGTAAAACTTTCCTTAACTATAACAAGCTAATTTATGAATGAAATGTTCATTTAAAATTTTTGTTTCAAATATTTCAAGTAGTGAGTATGTCTTACTTTGCGAAGGGACAGCGAGCGAGTTAAACCTGTTAGTTAAATATAAAGTCATTATTTTACAGTTGAAATTTCTAATGTACGTTTTCCAGAACATTTTTAACAGTAAGCTTCACCGGGGTTATGTAAGCTTCTCTCGGGTTACGCTAAGGGGTTGTTTATATAGATAGGAGGGAATAGTAACGGTTAACCCTAGACTTGAACAGGTTAAGATTGTAATGATCAGGGAAATATCCTCTTGGGAGCCTGTTCTACAGAACAGTGGTAAGCGGGAAGAAGCTGTTCGAGTGGAACTTACTTCTGAAATACGGAGAGAATATGGATGGTTTGCGACAATGTGAGCGGCATAGTAGGGCCTGAGCGTGATGGTTAGTCTGGCACAACCAAGGAATGTAGTTCGTCCGAGGACTTTTCATAAAAGTAACGATAGAGCAGTGAGACATTCACCACATCCCCCCTTTTGGGAGAAAAGGTCTGGTGGAAAATAATTCTTCTCCAACAAGGATTCGGAGACGCTTTTGAACTGTATCAAGACTGAGCAGCTTCCGCCCAAGTATGGCAACAGTCCTCCATTTTCGACTTGATCTGGCTCTTATAAAGGTAGAAGATAGCATGAGGACTCGGGTACAGAGAGGCGATCATTTTAACTATATCTTAAGGTATGGATCGTATATCAGAGTTCCACTTGAGATCGGGTGTGCATTTAAGGCCCAACATTCTCTCAAACCACTGTGCCTCCTAGAGGGGACATTTGTTCATAGCGAATGGTAGTAGTTAGTGGTCTTGCTGGTTATTTAAAGCCAGAAAATATTTTTAGGTTGAAGGAAGGTTTGTTGTTGGTCGTGGAAAATATAATGGTTTTAGTGATACAAATCTTACTAATTAACCCATAGATTGGGGGAGATGAGGCGAATTAATAACTTTCACAAGGTTATTTACACATAAGTGAATATAACGAACCAAACAAGAATTGGAACTCGGCACTTCTATAAAAAAAATATTCCGGGCCGTTTTCCATTGAACCAGCGGAACATCCAAGCTTACATCACTTAATATTCCCTAGAGGTTGCCCATCTAGGTATTGACCAGGCTCGACGTTGCTTAAATTCGATGATCGTACGAGAATAGATGCAAACCCAAGTTTATGCTTTCTGTTCTCACACTTTTCGCGTGTGGAAATGTCATCTTGTTTTTTGCTTTCTAGTCAGGTTTGCTGTTCAAATATCTAAATGCTTTGTTGAGCGTTATTTGCTATCTTCTATAGATAGCAAATATAGATAGCAATATAAGATAGATAGATAGATTGATATGAACATATTCAGATAGATAGATAGATAGATAGATAGATGTCTTTATTATTGGCCTCGCTTCTTTTACAGTTTCTTTTTTCTCTGTCACGGTAATCCTTTTCTTCTTAGTGGCCTCACTTCTTTGCTTAATGCAAAAAGATTTAAAAATATAAACACAAAAACGTACATACATGCGCACACGCACGCACACACACACACATATATATACATATAAACATATATATATATATATATATATATATATATAGAGAGAGAGAGAGAGAGGGGGAGAAAGAGAGACATCGATATGTAGATAGATAGGAAGAGATTGTGATATAGATAGGGGTAGACTAAAAAAGATAGATAGATAGATAGATAGATAGATAGATAGATAGATAGATAGATAGATAGATAGATAGATTATTGTTCTCTCTCCTTAATAATGTTTACTTCAGATTCGGTAAGCCATTTTCTCTTAGTGGCTTTATTGTCATACTCGTGAAAGGTTTAAAAACTATAAACACACACACGCACACACGCACATACACACAGACACACGCGCGCACACACACACATAGATAAATAGATAGATAGATAGATAGATAGATAGATTATTGTTCTCCCACCCTCATGTTTTTTAGCAGAGTCGCTAAACCTTACTCTTTATGATTTAATTCCCTAGCTTTAGATGAATAGATGAAAATACACACAAAACACACAATCATACACACATACAGATAGATAGATAGATAGATAGATAGATAGATAGATAGATAGATAGACATTAAGAGACCGAGATATAGAAAGGAGGAGACTGATTGTGATAGATAGATAGATAGATAGATAGATAGATAGATAGATAGATAGATAGACATTAAGAGACCGAGATATAGAAAGGAGGAGACTGATTGTGATAGATAGATAGATAGATAGATAGATAGATAGATAGATAGATAGATAGATAGATAGATAGATTATTGGTTTCTCTCTTTATGTTTTTTTTTTCTGATATCCTTACACCCTCGGTAGCCACCTTGCACCTTAGTGGCTGTATTGCCTTGCTTGGTGTCAAAAGTTCATGTATGTAAGTAAACCAGATCATTGTTCGCTTGGAAAATTTGTATTGATTCTGTCAAGACGGATCAATGAAATTCTTGAACACAAATCCAGGTTAAAAAAAAATATTCACAACTTGCATTTTTCTGGTTTTGATATTAATCATATCAAAAGTTTCCATTTCGAGCAATATGCTTCTTGTTTATAGAAGTGAAACCCATTTGACCTGGTGTAAATCAATATGGCGCCGACGGTTTCTGTTGGCATCGGATATATATTTTCTTTCGATTTATTCGTTCAACATTATTGTTTTGTAATATTGCCAAATAGATTTTAAAATTCAACGTTCCAATAATGCTCATATGCCGTAACGACAAATATAAATTAAACGTATTTATCATTAGTTTTTATGCATTAATAAAGTTCTGTTCGATCAGCACAAGCGCTTGTCTTTGTTAAGCATTAATGAATATCGTTGAACTGTCGAGGCTTGCAGCCGATATATCGTGAATTTTATTTTTGAATAATAATTGAGTTTATTTTTTTTATATAACACAACATATCTTAAGCGAAAACTTTTGCTGATGATAACACAGGAAACCATGAAGAATCGAATTGCCATAGTCATTATGTTATATACCATGCGTGATACATGTACCTTTCGATACATGACTGACGAGGCAGATTTTTTTCCGCAGTAGGTTGCCATTTCTTTCTGCGGTAGACCAGTCCATCTGGTCTGTCTAAAATATTTTTGATTTTAAAAGAACATGCAAAGAGTTTACTAAACTGAATCAATAAAAAACAATGTTCGTTATATTTAATAACGTTCAAACAACCTTAGGAAAGTCATGTAACCATATATACCCCCCAGCTATGGGTTAATTGGTATGATTTGTATATGGGAATTATTATTATCTCCGACATATTCTTACAATCCTCAAAAAGTTGATAAGCCGTAAAAAAATAAATATATCTCGGCTTCTGTCATCCATTCATACTGACTAACTTCGCCTATATCACTTGCTTTCATTATGCCACGTGAGTATTATGTTTTCCAAGCCCTCCTTCCTCATTATATATCCAAAGAAATTCAGTTACCTTTTCCTGGTATGAAGGGTCCATTTTGTGGTGATTTTATTTAAGATTGACTTGTTTGCTCGATTCATGCATGCAATTTTCAGAATATTGCTGAGGAACCATATTTCTCTAGTTTTTTTTTTTTCCCTCATCGTTGGGGAAATTTTTTTGACCATAAGGGGATGGATATCACATATCAATCAAGACCCCTTTTCTTTGTTTCGAAAGAAATTTGTTCATTTCTCAGCATCATCCTTATCCTTAGAAATGTTTTTTTTTTTTCGCTAGAAAGAGCGTGTTCGGATTTCGAGGTCGCATTTTCCATCCTCTTTTAAAACGCTTCTCAAATATTTGAAGTAATGCACTTTCTCCAGTTCGTATCATGCAATCTTTTTTTTTCGCGTGTTGATGACCATTTTTTTTGTCTTTGGCTTTCTTCTACCTCCTTGTCTAGAAGGTCCTGTAGTTACCTTTCCAAGTCGTCCATCAAATGCGTATCAGATATTGTTGAATTTAAACATGAATACAGATTGCAAAAAATGTAGCGCTGAAGTAGGTAGCAAATTTAACTGTGTAAAATAATTCAAAAAATATGAATACTAAAATTTATATAATTCTAAAATTGTTGGTGACAGGGAAATCATGCAATGAACGTATAAATGTAATTAGTAAAGTAAAATAATCCGATTATCCGAATTAAGGCACTGATACAATTTTTTTATCATTGTGAAATTTTACATATGAATATTAATTCGCTAAAATCCATATACATTTTAAGTAGGAAAATTAACAAAAACATACAAAAGCACGTACATTAGGCTATCTATCTATCTATCTATATATATATATATATATATATATATATATATATATATATATATACTTTAATCCGTTAATCCGTCTGCATATAACCCATTCTAGATACCTCTATCACTCTCTATATATATATATATATATATATATATATATATATATATATATATGTGTGTGTGTGTGTGTGTGTGTATATATATGCATGCAAAAAAAACACTCAAAGAGAAACAAAAACACACACACACACACACATACATATATATATATATATATATATATATATATATATATATATATATATATATATATATATATATGCATAGGCATGTACAGAGTGTATCAAAATACTTTTACAAACTTTTGGAACGGGTTCCTTATACCAAAACAAGGACAAAAGTTCATATCAACCACAAATTATTCGTTTTTGAATTATTAAGTTCAAAGTACATTGTAGGCGTTGTTAAATGTACAATCCAATATATAATCCAAAAATACTTTTACAAACTCTAGGGGACTGGCTCCTGACACCAAAACAAGGTAAAATGTTTATATAAACATATGTCCAAAAGGCCATCGTTGTACCTCAACCCAACAACTCATAAAAAAATGTTCAAAATCTCCTCCGCTTGCTTCTACACACGCTTGCACCCGTTGGATCATTCACTGGAGGACTCTATCAAATACTCCCACACCGTGTCGAATGATTTCTCAGGCCCACATGAGACACTGATTAAGCGTGTCGGCCTTATTAATGTCTGCTACATAAACCAATTGTTTTATGTGGCCCCACAGATAAAAATCTAAAGTTTTGTGGTCGGGGGAACATGCAGGCCGTGGAACACGTTCTTTCCTGCCTCTCTAACTTTCATTGTAGATGTCAGCCGGTGCATCGCGAACAATGTGTCTAAAATGTGAAAAAAAAAAAACCCGTTATGCATGAACCACACGCTTTTTCATATAAGAAGTTGTACATTCCTGTCATGTTTGGAAGTGGGTTCGAAATAAAATTCCTGTAGATAGCTCCTGTAAGAGTTCCTGGGAGAACATATGGACCTACCAGACAGTACCCTAAAATTTTCGCCCACACATTAAGCATAAACAGATGTTGGTGTCTAGATTATATTGTACTATGGGGGTTCAGTCTTGATTACGGATGAAGCTGAATTTGGAAGAGATAGAATAACAAATTTACACAACCAAGAGTGAAGAGACAAGCAACGGATTGGCAGGCTGCGTAATAGACCATCGGCAGAGTTCTCCTACGCTGAGTGATCAGCGGACTATAGACCCTGCACACGTTGCAAATGATGCGGATACAGTAGCTGCTCTTGAAGTACCCTCTATGCGGTATTATGATGTACAACATGCTAGGGCCACTTTACGTATACGGATATGGGGATCGTCTACGACAGTCTGTAGAATGTGTTCTTCGAGGTCAAGCGTACGATCTCGGTCTTCCTCGACTTATAGTCTGTGATGCAACGAATTCTGTCTCATCAATGCGAAGATAAACAATTGCAATCGTTGGATGACAATCTGATACAGCCGTTCAACTGCGCGTTCATATGTAAAAATCCTATCTGCCTGCTCACGATATGAAATTCCTGCCATTGTTAAAAGGTACACTTCTCAGTTAACTCACTACTACACACATTAAACGTTGAATACAGACTAGTCACAAATGTAATCTAGTCTACTTGACAACACAGCGACATCTACTGGAGACTATTTTAAACTTAATAAATAAAAAACGAAGGATTTGCGAACATATTTATATAGACTTTTGTCTTTGTTTTAGTGTGAAGAACTCTCCTCCAAAGTTTGTAAATGTATTTTTGATACAACATATATATATATATATATATATATATATATATATATATATATGTGTGTGTGTGTGTGTCTGTGTGTGTGTGTCTGTGTGTGTGTGTGTGAATGTATGTATGTATGTATGTGAACAGTTTCAGTGAAGAGAGAGATGAATGAATAAACTTAAATAAACAAGTATTTTATTTAAGTTTATTCATTCATATCTCTCTACATATATGCAATTTTCCATATCTATCTATCTATCTATCTATCTATCTATCTATCTATCTATCTATCTATCCCAATCTGATCATGATCTATCTATCTATCTATCTATCTATCTATCTATCTATCTATCTGTCGGCCTGATTGTCACTTCATGTCAGTATACCTATCGATGGATCTGTCTTTGAATATCCAAAACATTCGAGAAACATGGCGTTTGTGACACACTTTAGAAATACACAAAGTGGAAAAGCAATCTACTACTTTTAACAAATTCCTCGGGAATCTTTCGATTGCTATTAAAAGTTCCATCATGCAAGTAAATTTTGCAGATATTTAAGAAAAGGATTTTCTCCAAAAATACTTATTCTGTCTTTCAATGAAGTTCAGTGCTGCGAATTAATCCAAGAGAAAATAACGATGCATATTTTATTTTATTTTTATTTTTATCTTTGTTTTGTAAAATTCTATGGAAAAGGATAAATTGAAGACGTGCCAATGATGGCATAATAAATTTTTTTAATTATTTCTTGTACCTGTAGACAAAACGCTATCGTTTATTCTAAAAGAACCAACGAATATAGTATACAATCTATATTTATATATTCTATATATTTAAGAAAATTACTATTCATATACGTATACTCATAACAACCAATTTATATATATATATATATATATATATATATATATATATATATATATATATATAGAGAGAGAGAGAGAGAGAGAGAGAGAAATAGACGTGTGTATATAGTTGCATAGATGCATAAATATAGTTATTATGATTGAAATACTCTTACATATAGGCTCAGTAGCGTAGGAGAATAAAAAGAGATTTGACAGTGAAAATTAGGTATCGTAACTATATATATATATATATATATATATATATATATATATATATATATATATATATATATATATATATATAACTGGCTATGGACTAAAAATAACAATTAATTAATTATTGTCTTTTTACACATATATTTTTTTTTATTTACATGTGAATTTTTCCACACACACACATATACGTATATATATATATATATATATATATATATATATATATACATACATATTAAGTAGCTGCATATAAATACATTAGCTCTGAAGATCGTTGATGGTGATATGGTTGCTACAACTGTCACCACTGTTCTTCTGTGGGGGTAACACAACAACTCAACTGTTAATAGCAGGTAGGAACAAAAAACCGCAAGGAGGGTAACCGACAAAATCGGTGTCACACGTCCAAACATCTCACGAGCCAAAAGCCCTCTGACCCGAAACATAAAAACGCGCCTGCTCTATACAGCCGAAGACCGACCACGATTTTCATGCGAATGACGAAACATCGAGATTTCTTGTTAATGAAACGTGGGCGCCGCCATTTTGGTTCCTTTTACCGCTAGAAAACTGGAGTTTGCACATCGCACAGATTCGCAGGCGTTTCCGAGGTAGGCCATTTTCACAATTTTCCTCACATCTTCTAAATAAATTTGTTAATACAATAACCATTGACAAAGAAAAAAATAATCTTACAATCCAAAAATATATGTTTCGATTATAAATAACTCACAAACGTAAAAGAAAACGAATCAGTCAAGAAACCATAAAAGCTGGTTATTCCTAGAATACATTTGTAGAAGTTCAGTTGTTTATGATTGTTTTTTTTTTATGTCGGCTACAGACTAATTCGTTTTGCAGGACCTTCTGTAGTGTAGGTGGGTTTTGCACATTTAAAAACCGTAAATTTTATTGCTGAATTACTTTGGAAATCGTTTGGTTGAGCGGATATCCAGAACCAAACAAACAGAATGACTGTGTTGCATTTTCAATTTCGCAATTGAGAAAAAAAAAAGAATATTCAGACAACAAACATCGTGAAATATCGATTCAAATCAGTCTTTGATGTTCACAATTGGCTTTTCACTGTTAAATATATGTTTACATAGGCAAAAATATGAAATAATGGTTACGTGCATATCGCCACAATCAAGTGAAAATATCAGCAAAGAGGCGGAGATTGACTTTACTGTCTGCAGCAAGTCTAAATATAAACACAATTTCCGGGCTTTCTTATCAGTTTACTTTAGTGAATAAATCGCCATAGACATACACTTTGAAGAATATATAGGTTATTTTTTAATGGATATAGTATTTCAACTATATATATATATATATATATATATATATATATATATATATATGTATATTAGACATCGTATCCACTGGAAATCAACCAATAAGAAAGACTTAGTAAACTTCTATACCCATCATAACAACAAAATAAAACCCGGAATGATCATTCTATTCTATTTAATAGCACTAACAATTTGCAGCCCTCAATATTTACAATGAAGAGGAGAAATATATTGAAAACACATTTCAATACCGAATATATATATATATATATATATATATATATATATATATATATATATATATAAAACCCAGTATTGTCTTTTTTTCTGACTGAAATCTTTTTCATCGTGTTTCACTCACAAGAACACCTTGCGTCTTAGTGGTATTATCGCCTTTCCTTAAAAAAGTCACATGGCACACGACAAGAATGCTTATTATTACAAACACAAATCAGATATAAATTCTTTCTATATAACCTCAACAAATATTTTTTTTTCAAAATATCAACACTACATTCCTTATGTATGGGAATATTGAAAATTTGAATTAAAAAACAATACTGATGGAGCATTTATTAATTTTTTTTAAAAAACGTTAAAAATCAAATACTATTGCTAATTGTGTAAACGGTATTGTTATTAATTTATATACATACTAACCAGGAGCAAAGCGTAGTATCTGTTCTCTGCTTATTTAAGATGTGAAAAGGTCTCCGATCACGCGATTCGTACTCTGCTGTAGCATTTTCCTCATTGAACTAACAAAGATGGATTCGGTGTCGCTGGGATTGAGTAATTTTTGTCCAAGGCCCATACGAATATTCCCCTCGTTAAAAAAGATTTTGTGTCAGATCCTGCCTTAGTTCAGAGGCTAGATCAATACAATATATGCTCTCATCATTTGAGATGAGAGAATTGACCGATCCCCGTGATTACAACTCTGTGGCAGTACCTTAAACATGACTCTCAGAGAAGTGGGGTCTGTTTTGTAAATTTAACGGCATATTAACATCTTATGTGTCATTTAATACCGAAATTTAATTTTTTTCAGGGAGTTATTAATTTTACAAAAATATATTGCTGGTATTTTTTTTTAAATGTATTACTGGTAATTTCTTTTTTCAAAAATGCTTTTTGTTACTATTTTTTAAAATTTATTTTTGTTAATATTAAAAAAAAAACGTGTTGCTGGTAAATGTTTTACTAGGTAAATTTATTGCATGTCAACCCACAGTAGGTTGCCATTTCTTTCTGTGGTAGACCAGTTGCCATCCAAGGCTATAGAACACGGTCTGTCCTGTTATTTACCCATACCTGGGGTGGAGAGAAGAGGATTTCTGGTACCTTCATTATAAAAATAGATTTGTACACTTTCATAGTGTTTTTACCCCTAGTAAAGCTTCACTATTTACCCATAGCTGGGACCCTAACAGGTGCTAACAGCAGCGATTAAGAGGTGGTTCCACGCTCCTCAAAATCTCCTGATCGGAGGCTTTGCCGCCGGATATAGTTTATCGTCCTACCCAGGACGTGTTGGAATCGGTGTTATATCGATTCCAGCGTGATAGTGAAAACTGGGTTACTTTTCTCCTTAGCCTACATATACACTCATAGGCACCCAACATAAAAAAAAATAAACCTTGTGTCATATCCTCCTTTATTTGGAAGGTCATGTATATATTTTATATTTATATCTTCTCCCTTGGACTATTTACTTTTCAGTCATGTAACTGTCTTCGAAAATTTGACGAAAAATCTTTGAGAAATACCTGATGCCAGAGATTCCAACCCTTCCATAGCATCTCCATCATTGTACTAAATAGGGATAGTTGGTGAAAGATTGAAGCCAGCCTGGAAGTAGTCTCCGGACTGGACTATTTTTTGTCCTGAGAGCATATGTACGCGTATGGATATCTCGCTTTAAAAAAAATGAACTAGTATTATATCTCAAATCCGGGGCGGGGAGAGTGAAAAAAAAATTATTATATTTTAACCGTATAGGCTACGCGTTTTTATTATAATGATGCAAGTTGCTCACACAGATTATATTTAGACTTACGACCAATTAAAAAAGAATCTGATACATTTATTTAACTAATTCCAAATGACTGTTGGCTTTACTTCATCTAACCGGGAATTGAACTTAAGCAACGTCGTGCCTGGTTAGTACCTAGATGGCTGACTGCTTGGGAATACCAGGTGTTGTAAGCGTAGATGTGCGGGTGGTGTAATGGATGATGGCTCAGAATTGTAAATCGGAGATCCGAGTTCCTGTTCCAGTTGTGTATTTACGCGCAAATACTCTTCTCTCTCTGGCTATGGGTAAATCCGTAAAACTTGTATCACACAACCATTATTATCTAAAATAAAATCTTACACTGTAAAAATATATTCTGGCTTTAAACAGACTGCAAAGGTTTCATAAGCCGTAGAAAACGAATCAATCAATTGTTCTAATTAATCGGGGAATATGACGGTGGCGTAAAGGATAGCGTCGTGGAAAGAGAGCTGCTTTCGCATTCCAGCTGGATTCGATACAAATCTTTTTTATACGCAAAAATATCATTGGAAACGTATAAATCCATCTCCTCCCCTCAGTAATACTTTAGATGCTAGGACCTGTGGTTTGACAAGCTGTAAAAACGAAAAAGAAGAAGAAAAAAACATTTTCGTGTCTGAAAGTTTTTCTCCTGTGAGTCCATCCTTCAAATTAAATCAAACATTCATCCTTGCATGGAATATTGCTGTCATATCTGGTCTGTTGCACCCGCGGTACTTCTCGAAGTCAAAATCTTGACAAATCTTGACAAAATCCAGAGACGAATATGCAAGATAATAGGTCCTGATCTGGCATCTAGTCTACAATCGCTATCCCACAGACGTGCTGTGGCCTTCCTCTGTCTCTTCTACAAATATTTTCACGGCAAATGTTCCGACCAGCTATTATCGCTGTTTCCCGGACTATATGAATTTAAACCAGCTACTAGACTAGCAACTCGGTTCCACCCTTTC